ACAATCTTTGGACGTTTTCAATACTTTCAAAGTTGAAGTTGAACTTCAAGTTGGAAAGAAAGTAAAGGCTATCAAATCTGACCGTGGTGGTGAATACTACGGAAGATATGATGGATCAGGATAACAATGTCCAGGACCTTTCGCTATTTTTCTCAATGAGTGTGGAATTGTCCTGCAATGTACGATGCTAGACAAACCTAGCATGAACGGTGTTGCAGAGCGACGAAATCGAACTTTTAAGGATATGGTAAAGAGTACGATGAGCCATTCCTCCTTGCCAGAGTCACTTTGGGAGAAGTTTTGAAGACCATAGTGTACATCTTTAATAGGGTGTCGAGCAAGGCAGTTGCCAAAACTCCCTATGAGCTATGGACAGGCAAGAAGCCTAGCATTAAACACTTGCATATTTGGGGTTGTCCAGCTGAGGCACGGCCTTATAGGCCACATGAAAGAAAACTGAAATCAAGGACGGTTAGCTGTTATTTCGTTGGTTACGCTGAATGCTCTCGAAGCTATAAATTTTACGATCCCACATCAAGATCCTTTTTTGAAATGGGAAATGCGAGGTTCCTTGAGAACATTGAGTTTGGAGGGGAAGAAAACATAAGGAACGTTGTCTTTGAAGAAGAATCTATTATTGACAGCAATTAGGTCTCTATACCTATTGTTGTTCAAGACATAGTTCTAGCAATAGACTACAATGTTCAGGCTCCTATCTCTGACATTGTTTCAGACCAAGACAACAATGAGATTCTTTCTCAAGCATCACCTACAGAACAAACTCAACAACCTCAAGAAGTGCCATTGAGGAGATCCACTGGGAGAGGAGTAGTGCGATTCCAAATGATTATATCTCTTTCTTCAAGAACATGAGGATGGCGTTGGTTTAACAAAGGATGACCCGATCAACTTCCTTCAAGCCATGCGTAGTTCTAACTCTCAGAAGTGGATTGATGCCATGAAGGATGAGATGAAGTCTATGAAAGATAACGACGTTTGGGATTTTGTCGAGTTGCCTAAAGGAATGAAGCCCATTTGTTGTAAATGGGTATTTAAAACTAAGAGGGATTCAAGGGGCAATGTTGAGAGATATAAAGCTCGTCTAGTCGCTAAAGGCTTTACTCAAAAGGAAGGTATAGACTACAAAGAGACTTTCTCTCCCGTATCTTCGAAAGACTCTTTTAGAACAATAATGGCACTGATGGCTTATTTTGATCTAGAGCTATATCAGATGGATGTGAAGACTGCATTTTTCAATAGAGACATTGACGAGACAATTTACATGATACAACCAGAAAACTTTATGGTGGGAAATCCAAAGTCTATGGTTTGCAAGTTAAGAAAATCCATCTATGGTCTCAAACAAACTTCCCATCAATGGTATCGCAAGTTCCATCAAATCATGACCTCGTACGGTTTTAAGGTGAATTTTGTTGATGACTATGTGTATCATAAATTCAGTGAGAGTAAATATATCTTCTTGGTATTATATATTAATGATATTCTGCTCGTTAGTAGCAATATAGGCTTACTGTATGAAACTAAGAAATTTTTGACGAAGAAATTCGAGATGAAAGATCTTGGGGATGCCTTTTTTGTATTAGGTATTCAGATACTGAGAGATCGCTCTCTAGGTATCATTGGACTGCTACAAAAGAGCTATATCGATAAGGTTCTGAGTAGATTCGGTGTGAAAGATAGTAGACCAGGAGACACACCCATTTCTAAAGGAGACAAGTTTAGTCTCAAACAGTGCCCTAATAGTGATCTCGAAAGAAAAGAGATGCAGAAGATTCCACATCCGTCAGTGGTAGGGAGTCTAATGTACGCTCTAATTTGTACTCATCCTGACATAGCATTTACTGTGGGAGTTTTAGGTAGATACTTGAGTGATCCAGGCATGCAACATTGGAAAGTAGCCAAACGCGTGATGCGTTATTTGAGGAGAACAAAAGACTACATACTCACTTATCGGAGATTAGACAGTTTAGAGGTCATCGGGTTAGGGACCGAGCCGAGCTCGCGAGCCGCTTGCGAGCTCGTGATTTCTTTTGATTTTTTAAAATTTTTTAATTTTTTTTTTGTAAACTTGCACATTTTTGGACCTTTTTCTTTAAAATTTTCATATTTTTTGACAAGCCCACGAGCCGCTCATGGGCTCGGCTTGTGGGATTGAACCCCCTGCTTGGCTCGGGCTTGGGCTCGTCAAATGACGAGCCCGAGCAGCCCACAAGCCGAGTTTTGACGAGCTGAGCGGCCGAGCCGACGAGCCACTCTGTCCGTTTGACATCCCTACATCAGGTTCTTTGACTCTGATTTTACGGGATGTCAAGATAGCAGGTGCTCCACATTAGGTTATATCTTTATGTTGGCTGGATGAGCTATCTCATTGCTTCTTCGACCATGGTTGCGGAGTTTATTGCTTGTTATGTGGCATCCAGCCATAGAATATGGCTACGGAACTTTGTCACTGGACTACGAGTGGTAGATGGCATTGACAAGCCATTAAAGATTAATTGTGACAATAACTCGACGGTGCTTTACTCCAACAACAATAGGAGTTCGACAAAGTCGAAGTTTATTGACATCAAATTTCTAGTTGTTAAGGAGAGAATTCAAGATAGACAAATTTCCATAGAACATATAGGAACAAATTCCATACTAGCAGACCCACTAACTAAGGGCTTAATGCCTAGGATCTTTCATGAGCACATTGCTCATACGGGCGTTATTTCCGAGGATATTCTGGTCTAGTGGGAGTCAATTTTATATTCTATATGTTTGCTTTAGACATTGAATTGTTTAGCCTTCTGCAGAATGAAGTTGATGGTTTATGATTCTATTTTTTGAGCTCACTTGTGTTTTCTACGTGGAGTGTTCGCATTTCATTAAAGATTTTGGAATGATCTCATTAAAGACTAAAGAAGGATCAGATGGAAATAGGCATGTTTAAGATCACATTTCATGTAAATTTCCATGTTACTCTTCCATATTTGATTTATGTCATCAAGTGTATTAATGTGGTGATCATCGTGGTTTAATCATGACTGTATTGTGATGAAAGTTGCAATGGTTCCATTATTAATATATGAGATGGACAAGATTGTTTAAGGAGAAGTCAAGGGTAAAGAGCATATAGATGCACGCCTCAGGAATTTGTAATATAATTGTTTGAGGAATAGTATGTAGCCAGGTGGGAGATTGTTAGGAAAACCCACGTTTTCCTAATCCTAGAATTGGCAACATAGCTAATACATTATATTTGCTAATGGGCTGAAATTAAGTGGTCTAATTTAGTATATGCCTATAGACTACTCAAATCAATATGGTTTAATTGAGTAGATACCAATCAATATTGCTCTAATTTGGGGATTATGGGAACCCTAATTAAGCAATATATAAAGATATTTGGGTCATGGTCCCCCCCATCAAGAAGAGAAACGACTGTCCCATTGAGAAATAAGGCGATTTGGTTGAGGAAGATCACAAACCACCTCCTTTGTTCGTGTTCATCAGTACGTGGTCAATTGTTGCAGTAATTCTGCAATAGTAAGCAATCGTTCATAATGAATACAGGTATATAATCTGAATCCGTGAATCCTAATATTTTGACATGATGTTGATCCTAGGATTTTAGTTGTTTTGATATAGGATATTTACATCTAGATTTGGATATGATATGAATTTCTAACAAGGTACAGAACTACTTTTGAGCTCTGCAAAATCTAAGAGCTTCCACCTGAATATATTATCACAGGAATACGTTCACAATCTATGTAATTAAAGGAAAAGGCAATCAGGCCAGGCCATTAAAGCTTACGATCTCTGCTCGACTAAGACTGCACAATCTGCTAGTCGTCTTCGGGTTCTTAAACTCTTATTTGTCTTCTGCACCTTTAAGGAAGCCAGATTTCGCTTTTTAACACACTCTTTATGAACATTTTCGTTCGATGTAGGCCCTTTAAATCTGAGGGAGCCCTTCTCAGACTTGAATATTGGCATATTGCAGCAGGTTTAGAATGTGGACAGATAGAACGAGAAATCCTTACATCACCACCTCCAAATCCAGACTTAAACTGGCTATCCAAATCATCAAAATTGGCCAATGGACACGAAAATGCCATTCCAAAAACTTGAGGTATCCTATCTCCAATCTGCAATATTTTTGTGAATTACGAATGCCATATGATATGCAGAAGTATCGAAAACATTTAAACTTCCATAGGGAAGACAGACAACAGTAGATCAAACAGTAAAAAGATTATAATGTCCATCCTTCCTTAAAGAAAAAGCGATACAGATGTCAGATTATTAACGATCATTTCGGCATGATTTTTGAAAAGTTAAAAGAAGTTTTTGAGATTTAAAAGTCGCTTTTGGACATGTTTGGCTACTGAAGTTTAGTTTTTAAACAATAATTTTAAGTTAACTTCCTCCAAACAAGAAATAAAAACAAATAAAGACCATGTCAAACGGCCCTAATTTATTCATATCTGAGACTAATTACTAATTGGAGCAAAATGGAGTTGGTTGGGTCCATATTCTTCAATAAATTTGATCGGGATTGAACTAAATCGGATGTAAAAATTGGGTTTTAAACTATCTATCGTCGGCTAGGTTGGCAAAGCTTAAAATTACTGTCGAATTCCATTTTTAATTAAATTCTCAACTTTTACTTACTTTTTAATAACAAGTTTATTCACTGACTTTTATATTCATCTTTATTACAATAGAGTATTCAATTTCAAGGGTTTATCTTCCACCAAATTATAGATTGATTACAATTTCATTTTCCAAAACAAAAACAAAAACAAAACAAAAAAATGCTATTACAACCTGCTTAAATATATTATAAATTTATCAACCTGCTTATTATTTTTTCAGCATGGCACAATTCAAATTGAGAAACGGTTTCACACATTAATCGCATTAAGAAAAGTTACATGCAATATCTAACATATGAGAAGGAATATAATCCATAGATTATTAAACTAGCAAAACAATAGATAATGCAGACTGTTGCATTTCAGACTATAAATCAAGAACCATGAGGGTTTAAAAGAGAGAATAAAATAATGTTAGATCATAGAGGTCATGGGACAAAATATCGTCAATTTTCCATTTATAAAAGAATTGAAAATAAATAAATAAAATTAAGCATCAGCAATTCACTGGCGCTCTTCCTTTTTCTTTGGCGATGCTGCAAGTTCCTCTTTGATGGGTGATTCAACCAATCTCTCGGATAATTTCTCTACCTTTGCTTCGACTTTGGTTGGTGAGCTTAGGCCGCCTTCTCTTTGAACGGGTGATTCTTTCGAGTTCTCTTCCACTGGTACCAATGCAATGCACTCTTCCTTTTTAAGTTGTGATCCTATTTGCTCATTTGTATAAGCAGGTGACCCTACTGATTTATCCTTTTCGAGGGAAGATTCCGCCTTAACACTATCTTCCTTGAGTTCTTCCTTCTCAACTTTCGACTCCAATTTCTCGTTCATATAAGTAGGTGACTCTACTGACTTATCCTTTCTTGCGAAAGAGTCCACAGGAGAATTGACATTTTTTTCCTTCTCAAGTTGTGACTCCAATTGCTCGTTTATATGAGCAGGTGACTCTAGTGACTTCTTCTGGTGGGATGACTCTTCCTTTTTGCTTGGAGACTGCGTGGAGCCATCCTCATTGATGGGCAAGCCTGGGCTCTCCTGTTTTCGGTCAGTCAAACCTGTGACCTCTTTGCTGGAATTTGGCTTTGGGTCAACTTTCAGAGGTCTAAGCTTTGCTTCAAGATCCTTAACCAAAACTGATAAAGATCTTGCATCACGAGATTCTGCTAGTTTCCCAGGAGATGATAGCTGTGATAGGAATTAAAGAAGAATTTACACGCTCATTCCTGGATAAACTGAGATGTAAATTAGCCAAAATATGATAATATTCGACGAGAGAACAAAGAAAGAAGAAAGTTAATAGGAGGATCAGATTAAGAAGAAGAAAAAGTTACCCAGCCAATATTTTCAAATGAAGTTTATTGCATCTTTTACCATCTTACCATCATTGATGAGTAATAATTACTCTTCTAGTCAGATTGCCTTCATGTTTGTTTAATTTCGAGTTCATTCAATACTTAAAAATTCAAGTAAGTCGAGAGTAATTTTGGAAAGAAACAGTTTACGCTTAGAATAAACTTTAGTTTTAGCTAGGCATGTTCTATTAGTTGAAAATTTATATTTTCAATGGTTCACAGCAATTGCAGTTATTCCTAGAAAGCAACTCAAAATTATGTACTACCTTCAAAAGCTTACCTTTTCTAGTTCTTCCACCCTTCCTTTCAGATCGTCTGGTGATGCTTCCTTGTGAATAACTTGAAGAATGTACAGCAAGTGAGAGGGGAGATTCTCAGACCGATGTTGATCCATTTTAACGTGATGAACAGTAGACTGGCAACCTACGGAATAGAAAGGGCACTTCACAAGCTTCATTGGACAAACAGTAATGCAATGCCTGTCCATCTCGCGCCTCATGATGTGATCCGAACAGTTCTGCTCACATGGAAGTATTTTAAAAGGGCATATCGAATCATGATGGTCCATTTGAGCTGCACTAAATGTAGCATCGCAACCTTCGGTGTAGCAGGTCATGGTCCTAAAAGTGCACTGCGATTTATGCTCTTCTAGCTCTTCTAAAGACTTAAACTTCATGCCACAGTGAAATATGTTTTTGAAGTCAATGTTCTTTAGCAGCATCTGTGCAACTGATTCCCTCCTATTTAACAACCAAAAACCATTTATTTCCATTTCTTGAACTAAATCATCTATCCTGTCTTCTCTTCTTTCACTTAGTACCCAGCCCGAAACCCGACTAAAAAAATTCCTCTTTGAACTTGCAAAATCATCAACAAAATCTGAAATAGTATCAAAAGGGTTTTCAGAAACTTCGGCAGCTGGACCACCTTCTAGCACCACAGATTCTGCCACAAAATGTTCACTTCTTTGGACCAGATAGTCCACCATTTCTCTTCTGATGTCAACAGCCACTGAAGCAGGGCTCTTTGAGAGGCCGCCAGTTGTGTTGTCAACACAGGCAGAAGCCAGACCAGGGAGTAATGCCTCTGCTATTTTGTGAACTAAATCAGTATCGTAAAGATCACAGTGGAACGAGGGACCTCCTTCCTTTTCTTCTCCAATTTTATCTCGTCTAATCTCCATATCTTCTGCTGGCGGATTCATGCTGCAAGTACATGAAAACAAAAAACACCGCTTAGTGATATGTGATAAAGATCCCACAGAACACAATTACACGAGAAAAACCTTGGTGGGACCTCATTGAGTGAGGGTAGCCACCCGATGAGGTGGCGGCTCCCCATTCAACAATCGCACCACGTAGGATTGTGCGACCATACCACCATAGTATTTCTCCAACTGCACATCCAACTAACATTAAGTCTAACAGGTTCATACATATTACTACGGGGTAGTTTGAGACCCATTTTTTTGAAAATTCATTTTTTCAAAACACATTTTCAATCACAAATTGTCCAATAAAATAATATTACACGTAAATCAAAAAAACTTTCTTAATTTTTAACCACTCAGTCTCCAAAAAATTACTATTCAAAAATGCTTTTTTTTTCCCTCTCAAAATGGAGCTCAGACAAGGGCTACATTGAGGACAGATAGAAACTCAATAATAGCTGGTGTCCAACAAGAAAAAAGGAATTAAAATATAAAATTAACAATATTACCTTATCTTCCTCTTCTTTTAAGTAGATTTCTACCAAAAGTATACTCCATCAATGGTAAGGCATACTGATGTTACTATTGAAATCGTGATATTCTGTAATCTGCATTACCACCCACCAAAAGAATGAGAAAACATGCATAGAGCCAAGAATAAGATGAGTACTTCACCATAACAAGAATGGAACATGAAATAAAAGGAATTAAAAGATAAGTATTTATACATCTTTGAAATTCCTTACTCTATATTTGGTCAAACCGCATAAACCATGTTTTTTCATGCATAATTTTGGTCACCTCTCATGTTCCGGATCTAATTAAGAGAAGATATCTGAGTCATCACGGAATAAAGGATATTAAAAAAGGCCCTCCATTAACTCCCAATCACTACAAAAGGGCCAATGCATCATCATTCCTCAGTAAAATTCCCAACCAAGACTTATTAAACCAGCACATTTTCATGACTGTAATTGCAGAGGAACTGATACTGAAAACCAACATAAAACTTAATACAGGTGTTTACTACTAACACTATACAATAGCAGATATTTACTAACCAACATAAATTAAATTTGTGATTTCTCCGACAAATCATCAAGAGTTAAAAATTGACCTCAACCATCATTGGATACCCAATTTTTATGTAGATTCATATATCATGACCCTTACAAAACAATGAATAAATCCTCACGGTAAATAAACTCTAATTTACAATCAAAGGCAATCGGAATTGAAAATTAAAAATTTCAACGACGAAGAGAGTTGATTGCATTACCTTAAAGCTTCCTGACCTCCGCAAAGAAGTGTTCAAATCCGACGAAAAATGCGTCAACTGGTTGTAATTTATTACAATTAGGAAACGGTCATTTACAATCAAAGGCAATTGGAATTGAAAAAAATTAAATAAAATAAAATTCATTGACGAAGAGAGTTGATTGCATTACCTTAAAGCTTCCTGACCTCCGCAAAGAAGTGCTCAGATCCGATCAAGAATGCTTCAACTGGTTGTAATTTATTACAATCAGAAAAGGGTTAGCAATATATCAAACATCATGACTCAACTTAACTTTGGATCATGTTAAGTCAAGTGAATAAGAACAAATTGTGCCTAGCCAAAATCTAAATTTTGATAATGAATATTGCCCCATTTGGCAGTTATTATTATTATTTTTTTATTTTCTTTTCAAAATGCATTTTTCTCCCTCTTCTTTTCAATCACACATTCTTTATTAAAATAATATTACACGTAAGTCAAAAACTTTTCCTTATTTCTCAACCACACATTTCACATCAATTTACTATTCTAAAATATATTTTTACATAAAAATGCCTATTAAACATCCCCATTATATATTAGAGGGGCATTTGCAAAAATGTCGACTTTTACATATCTCAATTCAAAAATGCCTACTTTTGATAATTTTTACAAAAATGGCCAAATTTGATACCAAATTCTCTATTTTACTCTTATTGAAAGAATAAGTAATTTCATATTGCACATATCAAATCACAATTAATGCTAGACACTGAAATGTCGAGAGGAACATTTAAAGTGTAGAGAAATATCATATTCGGAATGAAATGTCATTCTAAAAATTTAACATGTCGAGAACAATTTTGAAATGTCGAAAATATTTAATATTGCAATTTGATATGTGTACTTTTAAAATATAAACGAATTTAAATATCGAGAACGATATTTGAAATATCGAGAACATCATTTTAATGTAACTTCTTATGAAAGCTATTTAGGGGTACTTTTGTCTAAATAATTGCAAAAATAGACATTGAAAAATTTTGGACATTTTTATCAATGACTATGATAAAATGGATATTTTTTGTAATTTCCTCTAATATAAGAAGGAATACAAGAAATATAAAAAATAGGCAGTTAACAGTTTTAATGTATGTAATAGGAACACATAAAAGGCAAAAAATACGAAAGCAACTGAATATTGGATCAAAAAGGTGTTCAAATTCACAGGTTTGTTTTAGAGGTCAAAATTTCTCCAACCTCAAATCAGATCTTACTCCCATCCCTCCCGTTTCACTCGTTCTACTCTTTCAATTTGTAAAAATAGGAACTAAGAGAAGTAATTTACTGAGCATAATTTTATTTTATTTATCAAAATTGCATCACTCAATTTCAAGTCTTATCGAACCAAGGTCGAATATGTTGAAAAAATCATCATTCACATTCGTTGGGATCAATTTTGCTACGCATAATTTCATATTGCACATATCAAATCACAATTAATGCTAGACACTGAAATGTCGAGAGGAACATTTAAAGTGTAGAGAAATATCATATTCGGAATGAAATGTCATTCTAAAAATTTAACATGTCGAGAACAATTTGAAATGTCGAAAATATTTAATATTGCAATTTGATATGTGTACTTTTAAAATATAAACGAATTTAAATATCGAGAACGATATTTGAAATATCGAGAACATCATTTTAATGTAACTTCTTATGGAAGCTATTTATGGGTACTTTTGTCTAAATAATTGCAAAAATAGACATTGAAAAATTTTGGACATTTTTATAAATGAGTATGATAAAATGGATATTTTTTGTAATTTCCTCTAATATAAGAAGGAATACAAGAAATATAAAAAATAGGCAGTTAACAGTTTTAATGTATGTAATAGGAACACATAAAAGGCAAGAAATACGAAGGCAACTGAATATTGGATCAAAAAGGTGTTCAAATTCACAAAAAAGGTGTTCAAATTCACAGGTTTGTTTTAGAGGTCAAAATTTCTCCAACCTCAAATCAGATCTTACTCCCATCCCTCCCGTTTCACTCGTTCTACTCTTTCAATTTGTAAAAATAGGAACTAAGGGAAGTAATTTACTGAGCATAATTTTATTTTATTTATCAAAATTGCATCACTCAATTTCAAGTCTTATCGAACCAAGGTCGAATATGTTGAAAAAATCTTCATTCACATTTGTTGGGATCAATTTTGCTACGCATAAATTCTAGTTGACATTTGTTTGATATTATACCATGTGACACAATTTTATCATTGATTTTCTCAACATTATTGAAAGAGTAGAACGAGTGAAACGAGAAGGATGAGAGTAAGATCTGATTTGAGGTTGGAGAAATTTTGACTTCTAAAACAAACCTGTGAATTTGAACACCTTTTTGATCCAATATTCAGTTGCCTTCGTATTTCTTGCCTTTTATGTGTTCCTATTACATACATCAAAACCGTCAACTGCCTGTTTTTTATATTTCTTGTATTCCTTCTTCATCTAATATAGAGGAAATTACAAAAAATATCCATTTTATCATAGTCATTTACAAAAATGTCCAAGATTTTTCAATGTCCATTTTTACAATTATATGGACGAGAGTATCCCTAAATAGCTTCCATGAGAAGCTATATTAAAATGATGTTCTCGATATTTTAAATGTCGTTCTCGATATTTAAATTCGTTTATATTTCAAAAGTACACATATCAAATCGTAATATTAAATGTTTTCGACATTTCAAACATTGTCTCGACATATTAAATGTCTAGAAGGACATTTCATTTCGAACATGATATTTTTCTACACTTTAAATGTTGTTCATGACATTTTTGTACTAGTATTAATTGTGATTTAATGTGTAATATAAAATTATTTATTCTTTCATTAAGGGTAAAATAGAGAATTTGGTAACAAAATTGACCATTTTTGCAAAGATTAACAAAAGTTAACATTTTTAAATTGACATATGTAAAAGTAGTCATTTTTGCAAATGCCCCTCTAATATGTAATATTCATTATCAAAATTTAGATTTTGGCTTTGCTAGGCACAATTTGTTCTTGTTCACTTGGCTTAACATGATCCAAAGCTAAGTTGAGTCATGATGTTTGATATATTGCTAACCCTTTCCTGATTGTAATAAATTACAACCAGTTGACGCATTCTTAATCGGATCTGAGCACTTCTTTGCGGAGGTCAGGAAGCTTTAAGGTAATGCAATCAACTCTCTTCGTCAATGAATTTTTTTTTTTTTTTTCAATTTCAATTGCCTTTGATTGTAAATGACCGTTTCCTGATTATAATAAATTACAACCAGTTGACGCATTCTTCATCGGATCTGAACACTTCTTTGCGGAGGTCAGGAAGCTTTAAGATAATGCAATCAACTCTCTTCGTCGACGAAATTTTTAATTTTAAATTCCGATTGCCTTTGATTGTAAATTAGAGTTTATTTACCGTGAGGATTTATTCATTGTATTGTAAGGGTCATGATATATGGATCCACATAAAAATTGGGTGTCCAACGATGGTTGCGGTCAATTTTTAATTCTTGATGATTTGTCAGAGAAATCACAAATTTAATCTATGGTTGTAATATCTGCTAGTATAGTATTAGTATTGAACACTTGTATTAAATTTTATGTTGGTTTTTAGTATCAGTTCCTCTACAATTACAGTCATGAAAATGTGCTGGTTTAATAAGTCTTGATTGGGAATTATACTGAGGAATGATGATGCATTGACCCTTTTGTATTGAAAGAGTAAAACGAGTGAAACGGGAAGGATGAGAGTAAGATCTGATTTGAGGTTGGAGAAATTTTGACTTCTAAAACAAACCTGTGAATTTGAACACCTTTTTGATCCAATATTCAGTTGCTTTCGTATTTCTTGCCTTTTATGTGTTCCTATTACATACATCAAAACTGTCAACTGCCTGTTTTTTATATTTCTTGTATTCCTTCTTCATCTAATATAGAGGAAATTACAAAAAATATCCATTTTATCATAGTCATTTACAAAAATGTCCAAGATTTTTCAATGTCCATTTTTGCAATTATATGGACGAGAGTATCCCTAAATAGCTTCCATGAGAAGCTATATTAAAATGATGTTCTCGATATTTCAAATGTCGTTCTCGATATTTAAATTCGTTTATATTTCAAAAGTACACATTTCAAATCGCAATATTAAATGTTTTCGACATTTCAAACATTGTCTCGACATATTAAATGTCTAGAAGGACATTTCATTTCGAACATGATATTTCTCTACACTTTAAATGTTGTTCGTGACATTTTTGTACTAGTATTAATTGTGATTTAATGTGTAATATGAAATTATTTATTCTTTCATTAAGGGTAAAATAGAGAATTTGGTAACAAAATTGACCATTTTTGCAAAGATTATCAAAAGTTAACATTTTTAAATTGACATATGTAAAAGTAGTCATTTTTGCAAATGCCCCTCTAATATATAATATTCATTATCAAAATTTAGATTTTGGCTTTGCTAGGCACAATTTGTTCTTGTTCACTTGGCTTAACATGATCTAAAGCTAAGTTGAGTCATGATGTTTGATATATTGTTAACCCTTTCCTGATTGTAATAAATTACAACCAGTTGACGCTTTCTTAATCGAATCTGAGCACTTCTTTGCGGAGGTCAGGAAGCTTTAAGGTAATGCAATCAACTCTCTTCGTCGATGAAATTTTTAATTTTAAATTCCGATTGCCTTTGATTGTAAATTAGAGTTTATTTACCGTGAAAATTTATTCATTGTATTGTAAGGGTCATGATATATGGATCCACATAAAAATTGGGTGTCCAACGATGGTTGAGGTCAATTTTTAATTCTTGATCATTTGTCAGAGAAATCACAAATTTAATCTATGGTTGTAATATCTGCTAGTATAGTATTAGTAGTGAACACTTGTATTAAATTTTATGTTGGTTTTTAGTATCAGTTCCTCTGCAATTACAGTCATGAAAATGTGCTGGTTTAATAAGTCTTGATTGGGAATTATACTGAGGAATGATGATGCATTGACCCTTTTGTAGTGATTGGGAGTTAATGGAGGGCCTTTCTTAATATCCTTTACTCCGTGATGACTGAGATATCTTCTCTTAATTAGATCCAGAACATGAGAGGTGACCGAAATTAAGCATGAAAAAACATGGTTTATGAGGTTTGACCAAAAATAGAGTAAGGAATTTCAAAGACGTATAAATACTTATCTTTTAATTCCTTTTATTTCATGTTCCATTCTTGTTATGGTGAAGTACTCATCTTATTCTCCCAACTCTATGTATGTTTTCTCATTCTTTTGGTTGATGGTAATACAGATTACAGAATATCACGATTTTGATAGTAATATCAATATGCCTTACCATTGATGGGAGAATACTTTTGGTACAACTATGGCATATTTCAGTATTCCTCCCTTCCATTCTACACTGAAGACAAGCCACAGAACACAGTTAAGTCATGTAACTGCAATGTACAAATTAATTTGGAAGACAAGAACAATCCCAGTGCCTAGAATGACATACACAAGACAAGAACAATCCCACACAATTTCAGTCCCTCACCGGCTAACTGCTTAGAATGACATAAACAAGACAAGAACAAAATAGATGAATAGGCTTAATTTGGAAGCAAAGACCAAGATCGAAAAAATTAAACAAACATACTACTGCCTACAAATAACACAGTTCAAATATCAACTGACAAGTGCAAAATTTGATCAACCCTTCGATAGTATTGAGATTAAAACACAAAACATAGCAAACCTTAAATCCTAGGGCATACAGTTATCTCATTGAATTTGAAATGTAATTTTATAACTGAAATAGCTCGTTCCAGGGAGACGATTATTGAACCTTGTATTTATACACATAATTGGGAGACTTTTAACTTATTAGAGCCCAAGCATCTGACATAATCAAATATAATAATATTGATATAATCTATTGTTGAAGTTAACCATAGCAGAAACTTCTCTGAATATACGGTAAACCATATCAAAAATTGTTCAACCCTTCGTTAGTATTGAGATTAAAAGACAACACATAGCAAAACCTTAAACCCCAGTGCATATAGTTATCTCGTTTCCAATATATCAACAGGAGAAAGTTGGATGGATGTGCTCCCGGAGTGGCGACAATCTTCGTTCGAAGTGTGGTAAAAAAACGTAAAGCGGGAGGCAGCCAAACCTTCGACACGCCCTATCGGATCGTCGACGGTGCCGTCGTCTGGGGTGATGTCGGAGATGGTGAGGCGTGGGGAGGGTTTTCGATTCTGTGGGTTTGGGCTTGGGAGAGTGAAATTGGGGATTTTTGATTCGGGAGAGTGAATGTACGTGTGGGATTTTAAGTTTTCATAATTTGTTTTTTTTTTTCATTTTGGTTAGTGCCACGTCAGTCGGGAGCTAAACCCTGTCAATGGGTCCTGTTCGTGTAGCGGAATCGTTCTTTTTTACGTAACGTAGGTCACACCTGGATTAACGACGCTAGTTGTCCAATTCTTCATTAAAAATATGAGCCGAGCTGGCAAGCCAGACCACTCACACATGCAAGGGGATGGGTGAATTTATTTATTTATTTTTTAATAATCACTCACCCCCCCCCCACAGGCCCTGTTTTCCTGTTCAGATAGAAAAAAAAATATTAGAAACTTTTTCGTTGTTAAATAAAAAGTAAGGATTAAGCTATTTGCATATTCTACCTTACACCTTTCTTGATAGATTGTTTACGTGGTAGTTTTCTAACGACTAGATTAAGGCCTTATTCGAGCCACATTATTTGAAAAAAATACATGTTTTTACAGTGATTTGATATTATTTTAACCACACATTTTTTAATAAAACAATATTACACGCAAATTTAAAACATTTCCTTATTTTTCAACCACACATGTCTCATCAATATACTATTCAAAAATGTATTTTCATTCCAATAATGTGGCTCAAACAAGAGCTAATTGTGTGAGATGTGAAAGATAACGTGAAATTTTGCCAAATACAAATTCTGTAAGTCAAGGTGTAAATCAAAGTGTATATATAGTAAGATTGAAAAAGTAAAGATTAAATTTTAGTTCTGTCTGGAGCATGAAAAGCCAACCCAAAGAGCACACTTCAATAAATTATAGCTCTGTTTGGAATATATTAAATTAAATTTTGATAAGAATAATGTTATTTAATATTTAGTGTTAGTAATGTTAGAGCATTAATTTAGTTGATAACTGTTGATATATTTAATTAAATAAATGATGTGACATTGTATTTATTGAGATACTATTGTCACATAGAATAGTGTTTGACATCAGTGGTGTTAAATAATATATATTTTTGTTGGAAAATTTTACTCCAATCCTCTTTATTTTTATTTACCCGTAAGATCTTTTGTTGTTCAGAAAAATATTAGCAAACAAGAAAAATAAAGAATATAACGCACAAATTAAACGGACTGCAAAACTTTTCACTATATGAAAAAATTGTTACAATCATATAGTATTTCCCTCACCAACCCAATCCCCGAGTATTACAAAAAAAAAAATAATAAACCCGAACTTTACCACACCTACTTTTCTACCAAATGTATGAAAAGTTTCAAGATGATGAGCTCACAATACTTTTCTCTCAGATCAACTCTTCGACCACACCCAAAATAATGAAATACATCAACTATTTATAGGATCACTAATTAAGTAGAAGAGTTTAATGTGAACTCAGACAATGACTCCTTTCAACTTAAACAAGGATTTCTTCATATGCAAGACTCCAAAACTTGTTGTAAATTGGAGATCAAGTACTGCAATGATTCTGCTCTCAACTTTAATTAGAAGTCTTTCATATAATAACTACATTTTTATTATTTGCAATAGAAATCCTCCATCTTTTGACTTTTGAGGCAATTAACCAACAATTTTTTGATAAATTTTGATTACATGTGATTAAAAAATTGTGACTTTTATGAAATGTTTAAAATTAATTATTAACTTTAACTTGAATTTTTTAATAAATTTTAATCTAGGCCAAGTAGAAACATAATGAATGCTACCAAGAAGCAATGACATAGATGGCTTCGTCGCATTGCCTACTTTGCTTTCAATGTTGCACATCAGCGAAGGCCTTTCTTGAATTTAGATTTACAAGGAGTTCTTTCACATGATCTCGAATTGAAGCAAGCCCTTTGAAAAGTGTATCGCTGATAGGAGTTTGCAACATAGCTTCTATCTATCCTCAGAGAAGGAACTAGCCCTACCTATTAATGACAAAGAGTGAACTAGCCTGATCAAAGGAGTTGTCATAGTGGGTAAGGACAACTTTGCTTGATGAGAAAAGCTATCACCGGATCTTTATTGATTCATAGTCCCACTAACTAAATGTTAGTTTTGTTTATTAGATAAAATTCGAGACAAATTGGGTAAATTGAAAGAAAAAATCGAAAAATAGGTAAAAAAAGGAATAAATACAAAGTTTGGGATCAAATTGTAAATATTCAATAGTTGATTTGAAACACGAAATGATAATTGAACATTGTTATAAGTTATTTGAATGCAATTAGAAGTCAAAAAAAGAGTTAAATATGTTTTAGGAATTTTCACAAGAGTCATGTTTCAAATTTTTAGTTGGAGATTGAGATCCATTTTTGGTATAATAATTTGAATTAGCTTTCTAATGTACTTTGAATTACCTTAATCGAATATCAAAAGAGAGTTATGACAAAAATACTAACGATTAAGCAAAGACATAATCATGTGCTCGCGAAGACAACTTTCCTTATTTAATTGAAACTCTTTTAAACCCAACTTGGAAGTATTTTTTGACCTAATTTCACCTTATATAATACAATATACGGGTGACCATCAGAGGATCTCTCTCTTACATCTCAAATTACTTTCATATCATAAAATCATTTAAGAACGTTGGCCAAATTCATCATAAGTTGGAAAAGAAAACAGATCTAGTACATAGATTGAATCAAAAAATATTAAGGACATGAAGAATGAAATCTTGGGATGGATAATTAAGAACAAAAATTAGACCGTGAAATCTCTTTCTTGTATATATAAATTTTAAGTTGTAGTATTAGAAGACTCACAATAAATTTAGAATGTGAAAAAATTAATATATGTGCTATAGAAATAATATTTATCACGTGGACAATCATATGGATTATCCAAAATTTAATGCATTCTAATCATTTGAATTCATGTCGTGGTTATAATAGATTTAATTTGTCTTGAAAAAAATTATATATCATAATTTTATCTAATGTCAACATATGAACGGAATTAGATTACTAATTGAGAATTGAAATAGATAATAATAGGCGGATTATAAATCTAATGCAGTCATCCATAATTTGATAAAAATCAAACTTTTACATCTTTCTTAATGAATTTAGCATAAATCAAAACAAAAACATTTTTGTATTACTCAATTTGGATTCCATACATAACTGGTAAATTCGAATTGAATTTATTCTCTGTGATACGATACTCTTAACTCACTTAATCTTTTACTTGTCAACATCTCGTACTCATGAAATTTTATTGAATAAGTGTTTGATACCATTGTCGAGAAATAAAGTATTTAATTTAAATCTATTAGTCTATACAGGATTCAAATATTTAATTTAATTTTTTTTATTTTGTTAATTTTGGCAACACATCATGATCTCTCTTGTGCTCGGTATTCTTCCAGGTACTACTCGACAATATATTCAAGATTCTAATGATGGCAAAGGAGTAAAATTTTTGCAACAAGTAATCTCGACATAGATAAAGATAATATGTTTGTAGAAGACATATACTGTGAATTTTGTTATAGTGTGCATTATATTGAGTACTGCTTGTATATATGCACTGATCCGTAAAGGTTCAAGGTTCGACAGTTTCAACAATATTTAAGATGTAGAAAATAAGTGATAAGTGTATTTTTATACACTTATTAGATACTTTAACAAGCTAATTATTAATTAAAAGGTCAAATATCGACTTACAATTGGGGTAGTTTTGGCTTTTGTAGGTCATAAACCCCAAAAGGTAAGAGAACAAGGCAAAAGGGAGTGAAAAGTGACCAAAAGTGTGCAAAAACGTGAAGTTGGGGACCAAAGTGAACAAGCTAGAAAGTTGGAGAACTTAGTTGCAATTTTGGAGGGTAAAAGTGATATGAAAATCAAATTTTGAAGACCAGATTGTACATGATCAATGTTGAGGAGCTTTGTGTGCATTTAAATGGAGGACTAAGTTGGAAAAAGAAATGAAAAAAACTCGTGCTCGCACACAAACTTATTATGTAGCTCGCGCTGGAGGCTCTTTGTGATCTCTCAAGGCCGAAAGTTTCTAACAGTGCGCGTGTGCCACAAATATTCGTCTGCGCGCCGCCTTCTGGTTGGGCGAATTTTACCTATTTCGTGTAAATTTCGGGACTTCTTTCGCAATTTCACCTTAGACGATTTTTAGCCATTTAAATACCATTTTGTTGGTCAATTCTAGGGTTTTTCTTTGGCTGGGTCTTCTTCCTCTTTCATTTTTCTTTCCTTTTATTTTTCTTTCTTTTTTTCTTCTTTTTCTTGGCATTTTGGAAGCGAAATCAAGAGCACAACCAGAATACACATTCAAGAAGATAGAGAGATTTTGAAGAAATCAAGTTCAAGCCTTTAGCATATTCAAAAAGCCAACAAAAATGGTTGTATCTTGAATTTTGTATTTTCTTCACTATTATCTTCTATTGGCAATGGATTATATAAAACATTATCCTTTTTATCATATATTTGACATGGACTAAATATTTGTGTTGGGATTTATAGTAGTAACTTAACATAACTTTTAATTAATTTCAATATTTGTTCTTTAATATTAAGTTATTTATTTTCACGTGTTTTTACAATTGTTATTATTGCATTTTCATTTATGTGGTCTGTAAAAGATTATGTCTAGTGATTTGTATATCGTTCGAGAGAAAATTGTACATTTTAGACCAAATAGTAGAAACCCCATGTTTGTGCAGGAGATAGAGATATACTCCTAACCCTAGGTGACTCAATGAGTTATTTTCACAAATATTTGATACGATAGTTTGGTTTTAATTGACATAGAGATATAATATGTTAAACCAATCAATTATGGTTAATTTAGCTCGAGAGAGGTAATTAACTAAAATTGGCAGATCATGTCTAACATAGTAAATGAGTAATTAGTTAATTGGATCATGAAAAATTTAATTAGGCATTGGTTAAATGAAACCATGAGTCCCAACCACGTTTACTTCTGAAATTTTCAATATTTTTATATTTTCTTATTTTGTGGGTTTTTAGTTAATTTTCTTATTTTAAAAATCATATTTTTAATTGTGCGTGTTT